GCAATTGCGCACTTCTCTCACCCTCTCAGTGCAGATGGTGAGGCTGGCGCGCACCACACACACACACACACACACACACACACACACACACACACACACACACACACACACACACGCACCCACACTCCATTATATATATGAGAATCAGAATCACCTTTATTATCGATACATATAGACATATATCAATATATAGATGGCCGATAGCTTGCAGTTTAATCTGTGCTTTCCTGAACGTGTCTCTTTGTAGGTGCCATTTTCGGGGATCCTTCGCCAAATTGATGTTGTTTTTCACAATGCACATACCGGCACTATCTACAGATGCTGGGGGTGTGCCTTTGATGTCCTCTTACAACATGCACCCTTCCCCATGCTGTCCTCAGGAATGTCCGCCTTTCCTCTATATAAATAGTGCGTTGGCACAACATCAGTCAGTCAAGCGGAGCGCTCATCAAAGTCAGACAACATTCACAGATTTTGGAATTCTGTGCACACATAAGGCATTATAAACCCCCTCCCCCGACCCTTTTGGAGAAAATTTAAGAATTTTAAGTCCGCTTTATGGTTGTGAAAATATGGTCATTTTCGTAGAAAATCAACTTTCCCAACACTGCCCACTGTACATATGAAAATAATGTCATAACCTTCCCTGCCAAAAAAAATAAAAAATATGCACAGATGAAGAAAAGTTTGAACAAATCTCTTTCTTCTCTTTGCCTCTTGATGCTAAACCCATAAAGATGTTGTCCACTGTGCCTCAGGATAGAAGTCAGCACATTGCATTAACACATGAGATGAGTGCCGGAGTGGAATTTTGCCAGATGAGGAGGAGGGTAGGAACCTCATTTTTTTTTTTACTTTTTCATGATGGAATCAAATTTACTATTGACTGTATAATGACCAGACTCCGACTGGCAAAGGAAAGCCTTCCTAAATCTCAGTGCTGACATGGCTGCGGTTTTGTGTCAACCTCTGCTTCACCACATTCATTTGCCAAGTCCAAAATGCTGCGATTGAATCTCTGATTAAATATTCATGGTGGGCCTCATGAGCTTGATCTCACAGTTGTACGGCAGGGTTAAAACTGGCAGGCCAATCCAGAATGAAGCGCTCCAAAGGCATCCTCCCCCAAGTGCGACCCCCCCAAGTGGTCTGTTGAACTGCAGAGTTGCGGAGAGCTTACCAATGAGAGAGAGAGAGAGAGAGAGAGAGAGAGAGAGAGAGAGAGAGAGAGAGAGGGCACTTAAAATTAAAGCAATTTTATGAGACTGAAAATTATGTTTTATTCATATTTCACGATTCAATTGCAGATGGGGGTGGGGCATCTTTTAGGGGGGATGTGCATATTTTTCAAATAATACTTAAAAACGTAACCAGCATATTAGTGTTGTATCATTCACAAATGTGATTGTTTCGTTCAACAGAACAACTCTTTGAGAAAGAAAATGATCCGTTCTTTTCTCAATGCATTTGAGCTGAGCTGCAAGAGTGTTGGATGGAAGTGGGAAAAGAAGTGCAGCGTTTAAAATATTCATTTAATGAATCGATTGAAAAAAAAAAGCACTTTTGTGCTGTTATGGAAAATAATTATTGAGCAAGCATCAGCAAAACGTTTTTGTTGTTTACTGTGACCACCTGCATTGGAACAAAGACCCTTTCACTTGTAGATGAGACCTCTCCTGTGAAGCCAGAATGAGAAGTCCTTGACTAATAAGTTTGTGGACTTGGGAGGGGCGGGTGCTCAAAGTAAAAACAAGTGGCCATTCCTGCACTCTTCACCCACTCAGGGTTTGAGCCCGTGGCACCACCTCGCTGTCAGCTTAGAAGCAGACTGACTGCTGAGTTAAAAGCCAGCAAAATACCAGCTCCCTCTGAAAAGTCAGAGGTGTGAGGTTTTACTAATGAACAATCACACAGCTCGAGCTGAAATCTCTGACACATCGAACAAGTGTTTGAAACACCTTACAGAAACTTGATTTACAACATAAGTCATTGCACCATGTAATTGCATAAGACTGAAATGACAAACCCTCTTTAATATTGAACTGGCTCAATTGGAACAATCTATATTCACAATTCATGTTACAAACCATGTCAATGTAGTCACCTGATATACTCAGTATTTGGTAGAGAGCAGCGTAAAGTAAAGTTTTACCGGATAAAGTATGAAGAATAGCAGCTTTTGAGGGGATTCGTGGAGAGATTGCTGATGACATTGCTGGAGAGGGGCTTATTTGGCCAGAGTGTAGAAGCTACAAAACAAAATTGGAGAGTAGTTGGTTCGACAAATATTGTATGTATGCATTGGAAATGGCTAACTGTAAATAACCTGCTGTTGGGCTGTAAGTTTGGAGATTCCTTATTAAGAGAGACACTGTTGATTGCTCCATGGGGCTGATTCATAATTTGCTCTTAATTATTTAGCGCACATCTCTATTGACTGGTTAGCGCATCGGCCTCAAAGTCCAGAGGTGCAGGCTTTGATTCCTTTCTCCATCCATCCATTCATCTATTTTCTACCGCTTATCCGGGGTCAGGTTGCGGGGGCAGCAGTTTTAGCAGGGAAGCTCAGACTTCCCTCTCCCCAGCCACTTCTTCCAACTCTTCCCGGGGGATCCTGAGGCATTCCCAGGTCAGCCGGGAGACATAGTCTCTCCAGTGTGTCCTGGGTCATCCCCGGGGCCTCTGCTGGTGGGACATGCCCGGAACACCTCACCAGGAAGGCATCCAGGTGGCATCCGAATCAACCCTCTCGTCAACCGGTGTGAACCCCATCGTACAGGCACTGAACCGGGGGGCAATGAGAATGCCCACCCCTGCTCGACGCCTCTCACCGTGGGCAACTCCAGAGTGGAAGAGAGTCCAACCCCTCTTGAGAGAACTGGTACCAGAGCCCAGGCTGTTGTGGAGGCAAGTCCGACTATATGCAGTTAGAACTTCTCTACCTCGCACACCAGCTCGGGCCCCTTCTCTGCAAGAGAGGTGACATTCCACGTCCCTAGAGCTAGCTTCTGTAGCTGAGGATCGGACCGCCCGGGGC